CATTCCTAACTACACATTTTTAAGGAGATTTAACCTATTTTACAGTATGTATTCCAGTAAGCTCTAATTCACCCACACATCTGTAAAGTAATAAGAGTTTAATGTTAAGCCCACAGGAACCCTTTCAAAGATGGGTGTCCGCCCAAAATGTATACGCACTTTAACAGCGGATAGCTCAATTTTGAAAATGAAGTGTATTTTAATAAAGACTGCCTTTATAATTATTCAAAGCGTGTGTACATTTTGGGGGAACACCCTATGTAGCACGCAGTTGGCCTTCTGGAATTACAGCCGGGAACTCTGCTACAGGCTGACTTTCCAGAGAGAGATCTGTGGTGGGGTCATGCTAGGAGAACTGAGTACAGGGAGGTTTCTTTAGCTTCATGCTGGTTCTCCATGATCATGCCTTTCTCAGCATACAACCTTTTGGCTATATAATGTGCATGTTTGTTTTTTTTTTAATATATTTTATTGATTTTTTTACAGAGAGGAAGGGAGAGGGATAGAGAGTTAGAAACATCGATGAGAGACAAACATCGATCAGCTGACGCCTGGGCAGCTCCCACCAGGGGTGTACCCGCAACCAAGGTACATGCCCTTGACCGGAATCAAACCCAGAACCCTTCAGTCCGCAGGCCGATGCTCTATCCACTGAGCCAAACCGGTCAGGGCTAATGTGCATGTTCTTAATTCTTCCTGTCATTACCCCTTTACAATTTTTCTATAGAGACTATATTTGCTGCTGTTTTCTTGAAATCCTCTTGGGATAATGTCCCATAGTGATATTTCATAAAGTCTACAAAATTAAGCTTTTAATGTTATAGCAATGCCTCTGTTGCTTTTGACTCACTGATTACAGCAGTAAGAAATTTAAAGCTCAAAATGAAGAGGAGGATGCAAATTCCCCATCTGATTGCCTGTGTGATCTGTGCCTTGCTATTTCTGATAAGAAAACTTTGATGTCTACGGCTGTGAAATTTCTATCCTGTGATATTTGTTACCATGCTGGGAGGTATCATCTTTTGGTTACCCTGTAATGTAAGTGCCTGACATTAAGCTTTTTGATTGTAGTATGAGCGCTTGACATTTTAAGTTTTTTACTGCCAAGGCATCCATTTCCGAAGGCATCCATCCTGAATAAACGTATGTATGACAGCTACCAGCAAAACAACCACACAAGGAACTAGGCTGCCCCCACTCATGAAGTTCACTTTTCCAGAAAGCCCTGGGTAACCCGGATAACTGACCATTTGAGTAGCCCCATTTCTCCCTTCCTGCACCCTAATTCCCTTTCTTATTATTTAAATTAGCCAATAGAGAGTGAATCCATAAAAACCTAGGCACCCCACCCTAGAACCCTAACAAAGGCAGAGCTCTAGGTCTGTGCTCTCTCCCATGCCCCCAAACTTGCTGTGTACCCTCAAGGACCTGTGAGTGATAAATCTTGCTCCTCAAAGTTCCCTGATGATTTTGGTGCAGCGCATCCTGCAGCCATAATAGAAAGCCTGGGGCTGGTCCTGCCACTACATTAACCTCCCCCCAAGCCCCTGCCCCAAAGTGGGGTAAATGTCTGTGCCGGCTCACCACAAGTAATCAGGCCAAGCAAGTACCTCGGGCAATCCTAGCAGACAGCATCACTATCAGCAGGCGGAGAGCCACGCGACAGTGATACTGCCACACTCTGTTCCTGGGAGGTAGTATCTTCACTGTTCTCTGGTTGCCCCAGTCAGTTAAATGCAAATAATCTTTTTCTTTTGTCTTTGCTAATAATACTTATTGCATCTTTATTTTCTATTGTATTAATTTAAATTTCTTGAAACAATCTTAAAGTTACAGAAAAAGTCCAAAATGCAGTACAAATAATTATTTTCCTTAACTATCTCAAAGTAAACTGGAAACACAATGTCCCAACACTCCCAAAATATTTTAAGTATTTTCTACAACAAGGATATTCTCTTATATAGCCATAATACGACCACCAAAATCAGGAAATTAACACTGACACTTCGCTACTGTCTAACCTTAGACTCCATTCTAGCTTCACCAGCGTCTCAAGATCTTTGTCCTTTACACCAGAAGGATCCAGGAAAACCTTGCGTTGTATTTAGTTGTCATGTCTCCTTCAAAATGGAACTCTTCCCTCGATCCCCTACTTTTGAAGATTATAGTCCACTTCTTTTCTTAGAAAGTTCCTCAGTTTGGATTTGTCTGGTGTTTCCTCATGATGAGATTCAGATTATGGAGTTCTGGCTGAGTAATACAGAAGTGATATCCGGTGGCACACAACCAGGATTTGTACTGTTCCTAATAATATTCACATTGATCAGCTGCCAGGCTTCTCCATGGTCAAGTTACTCTTTTCTACTTTAATTAATAAAGACATTGTGGGAGGTACTTTGAAACAATGTACAGTCAATTCTTATTATTTGTGGTAGTTATGTTCTAAAAAGTTGCCATGAACATTTAATTAGTGAATATCATAACATTGCTCCTAGAGGAAATACAGGGTTAGGATCCTATGTGCAACATTTTCATCAAATGATCAATACATAACTTGTTTTATACATGTTTCTGTGTCGGGACACCATATATATTGAACTTGAGGCCAATGGTGCTATAACTCACGGCTGAATGAAGCTTATCTAACACATATTTTCTCCATAAGGCACATTGTAGTCTGCTTACACTTAGGAACATTACACAACACTTCATTACCACACCTGGGGTCATTTTAAACAGTACAGTCACCAACAAACAGCATAAAAATGCAAAATGTGGCCATTAAATAAACACACACACACACTTCTATTCCAAAACACTATGGAGAGTACATTCTAATTATCTCCTTAAACCTAGCTAGCTCCCATTATCCTTAATATTAGGGCATACCTATAAGAACAACCTTCTGCAAGTAACCAATCTTTTGCTGCTGTCCTCTTCTCTGCACCCTCTCAGACACATCCTCCTCACCCTGCTCAGCTCTGACAGCCTGTGCCAGATCAGCCCTCCGCGAGAATGCCCATTTTACCACATTTGGGCTGTCAAAGCCTGCACCACAGCACTGCCTCCTTCACAAGAACACGCTTCTTTCTCACCCAGCTCTGGCCCTGCAGCTCCCTACTTCTCCAAGTGAGATGCCTGCATTGTGCAGCACCTCCTTATGTCTTCTGAACTCAACTGTTCCGGAAAGGTAGAAAAAGGGGGAGGACAATGCAAACAATTCCGACAGCTGAATTTTCTACTCACTATTTCCTTAGTATCTTTAAGTATTTTAAAATACACAGATCATATAGGCAATTTAGATCCTTAAGTTTGGCCAATAACTTCTTTATTTTTAAGTAAGTTCTTATTGATTTTCAGAGAGAGGGAGAGAGTGATAGAAACAACAAATGATGAGAATCATCGATCCACTGCCTCCGGCACACCCCCGACTGAGGATCGAGCTCGAAACCCGGGCAAGTGTCCTGACCAGGAATCGAACCATGACCTCCTGGTTCATGGGTTGATGCTGAATCCCTGAGCCACACCGGCCGGGCAATTTGGGCCAATAACGTAAAGAAGTTAAGAAGTTGTGGCAGAAGTATGGTGTAAATGTCCTTTGACCTTTAAGCAACTCCATTATTTTAAAGCCTTGGTAATTTTCCTTTGGTTGGTGATTCTGCCTGTTCACAGTAGTCATTGTTTTATACTATTAGTAACACAATTTTTGTGCTCAGTGGATACTAGTTGCAGTAGAAAACTGTATATGTATTTGCTGTCATCTTTTGACCTTATACAGTAATTCCCCCCTTATTCGAGGTTCTGCTTTCTTCAGTTTCAGTTACTTGCAGTCAACCTCCATTCAAAAATATTAAATGGAAAATTCCAGAAATAAACAACCCCTGAGTTTTAAACTGTACGCTGCCGGTGCCATCCCCTTCCTCCCAGGACATGAGTCTTCCCTTTGTCTGGCATATCCACGATGTACACGCTGCCCACTCACTAGTCACTTAGTAGCTGTCTTGGTTATCAGACTGACTGTCACACTGTAGTGAATATGTTCAAGTAACCTTGATTTTACTTAATAATGTCACATTCATGTAACTTTTATTACAGTATATGGGTATAATTGTTCTATTTTATTATTGTTGTTAATCACTTATTATGCCTAATTTATAAATTAAACTTCATCACAGGTGTATATGTGTAGGAAAAAACAGTATACATAGGGTTCACTACTATCCAGTTTCAGGCATCCACTGGCGCCTGTGGTCTTGGGACAAATCCCCCGCAGAGAAGGAGAACAGCTGTGTCTATAATACAGGAATCAGGCAGCTTTTGAAAGGGTTGTGGAAATGTGCCCAATGACCAACCAATACAGGAACAGTTTTGTTAGGATTGTAGATAAATAGGTAACTGTATGGCTTCTAGAATTTTTTCAATGTTATATTTCCAGTAAAAAAAAAAAATTCTTAGAAGGCCCATAACTAAAAATGAGATAATTTCTTTCTCCTATGAAAAAAACAGTTGATTTCCTTCATGCCATCAGGAATATGTCACTCTTTCTCCATATTTACATTAATATCTGCCAACAATGATTGTTGCTACTCTTCGTTTTACTTTCAGAGGCTCTGGGCCAGGGATAACAGACACGTGATCACACCTCCAGCTCCCACACCGACTTCTGCACCTGACCGAAGTTCACCAGGAGAAGGAAACCCTGATCTAGATCATCCGCTCCAGGAACCAGGCACCATACTTATTTATCACCTCATGACTCCACGTCCTGGCTCATGGATGAAGGGAAAGGGGCATACTTGAATAAATATGACACTGGCAAAGGGGCTTGGACCTGGTTTCCTTTCATTTCTATCCCTCTCTGTTTATAGATAGCATTCTAGGTGTCCCTTTTTTTAATTTAAAAGAATTCAAACCTCTCCATATGAAAGCAGACTATTCTCATTAGAAACTGTGAACAGAGTAGTCACCGATTATTTCTGGCATAAAAGGTAATACACTACCTCTGCACGCGGTACACTCGAGTCCATGGAGGCACAAGGGCAAGGATCCGAGCCACCAATTCGATCAGGTCACTAGGCGAATAACTCTTATAGCGTCCTGATTTCCACAGCTCATAAAGCCCAGTTCCACGAATCACCAGGGTCGGGTAAAGTTTTAAACCATCGGGACGAAAAGCAGGGTTCTCAAAAAACTCCTGTGAATAGAGAACAGAAGATTACTTCTCCATTAGTTACGTAGAGATTACGCATGCAAGTTTCAAACCTGGGCCAGCTTCTCTCACATACCTGCCTGGTCCTTAGAATGCCTTTCCTTTCCACCCAAGGAGGGGATGCAGACAGAACAGGAATCCATTATTTTTACAGCCTCACTAGGGCAAAGCATGTTTGCTGGACCCAAGGCCCCTCATCACAGCCCCTGTCCATTGCTGCAATGTCACCGCACGCCACTCTCACCACCTTGCCTTTTCGCCCCTACAAAGGCAATTTTCTCTGCCTGGGAAGTCCCTCAATTTTTCTTCATCTAGTTAATCTTCAGGCCTCGGCTTAAATGTCAGTTCTTCAGAGAGGCCTTCCTGACCTTCAAATATAAACTGCCTGACTTAAAAAAAAAATCCTATCGAGTTCTTTATTACCACTTTCTTAACATCATCATACTGACAATTTATCCAGTGCCTACCTTCACCGCTAGACTGTATAATCTTTTAATAATGAAACGTATTGTGCCAGAGATCACCATCTGGCCTGCAAACCTAAAATGTTTACTATATGGCCCTATGCAGAAAGTGTACCGATCCCTGGATAGGACTATTTTGTCCTCAGACCAACTGGCACCATTCCCAACCTGGGACATACACTCTCCATTTGTTATCTGGACACTGAGCGATACATCTAATTCATCTACTGTGACATAGCCATTTCCTGTACTATATCATCCCAGCTGGCTGCCTTATTTCTTTATTTGGGATGTAGCAGGAAAACATAAGGCAGTCTCCCTTCCACGACTCTGCACTCCTAATGTGTTCTTATCTTGATTTTGCAGGATATATGGTGGAGGAATGAAGGTGGACTCATACAGTTCCCTTCACCCCCACCCTAGCTTTAGCATCTATTCAGCCAGCAGTACCATATCTTCTGAACTGTAAAATGCTTTTTATCTTGTGCTCTGTTATTCCTGCAGAGCTATCCATTATTTAACTTGCTTTACAAAGAAATACAACTGCAGGGTATTTGATCTCTCTCACTGATTTGTCATATTCTTAAAATGCTATATTCTTTGTGCACACTTTGGTCTTAAAGATATTCCCCTGTAATATTTATATAGTAAAGATTCATCAGGTCTTTAATAAATATTCTATAGCCATCCACAAAGAGCATGCATGCAAGTCATTCTCTTCCTAGTTTGATTCCGTATTGAAACATGGGGTTTCAGAAAAGAATTTCTGAAACTTGTATAATAAATTTAGGAGATATATGGGCTGACATACTCCTTTAAAAAGAATAATAGGTAAAATTGGTTCTAGATTTCTGGTTAAACACTAAGAATTTAAATATGTGTTTCTTTCCTTCCAAAACCATGCTAAATTTTTGTTTTAATTTCAAATTTTTAAAATTGATTTTAGAGAGAGGAAGGGGAGAGGGGGGAGAGAAGGGGGGGGGGGGAGAGAGAGAGAGAGAAACATTTATCAGTTGCCTCCGCACACGCCCCAGCCAGGATGGAACCTGTATCCTGGGTATGTGTCCTAACCGGGAATCAAACCTGCCCCTTTTTGGTGTGCAGGATGATGCTACAACCAACCAAGGTCTGGAAGACCAACCAAGGCCTTCCAAAACCATGCTAAAATAACAGGAAATAATACAATTTTTTAAAGTATAAATCAAAGGAGACAGGAGGGGAACAGGTGATGGCAATACATTTTTGAAAGACGGAAAATGGATGGAAGATTGGTAAATGACTTTGCCAGTGACGTGAACTGCAAATAAAGTATCTGTAAAGTGGGACAGATACTAATGAAAGGCCAGCTCAGTCACACCCGCGTCCCAGAAAGGTTCACGGATCACAAGTACCAGGAACTGGGCAGGTGGGAGAGAACACTTGATCAAAATCTGTACATGAAGGGATTTGTCCCTTTCCTTATCCCTTATCACCTTCCTACAGGCAGTCGCCTGATTTTCGCTGGAGATCCTGGAAAGCCTCTGGACTCTGAGATTTCAGGTACAAAGGAAGGCCTGAGTGAGGACCCAGAGTGAAAACAGGGAGATGAAGTGAAGGCCAGCACGCTGACTGGTGGACTCCCTGCTGCAATTTCCTGTGATGTACGCACAACACCCACTCCCAAGGAGGAAGCTGGAGAGTTATCTCTGGATCAATTAAATGGCTCTAAATAAGAGCTCCATATACTGACATTTGGAAATTCCCTAAAGAAAGGAGAGCACATTACATGAAAATCCTTCAGTGAGGCATACTGGCAGCTAGCTACAGAGAGCTTGCAATCTGGTTTTTAAGCCCCTCACTTTCAAAGTATGACCATTTGGCTAAGGATCATTAGAAACTAGAAGCCTAGAACATAAAAAGCAGACCAAAACAAAGAGAGAAAAAGGAATTGGGGGGAAAGCAACACATAAAGGAAAATAAAACATAAAGAAAACAACTATAATAATTCCATCAGAGAGAATAAGAAAAGACATATTAATCTGTAAAACAAGAACAAGATACTAGAGAAATCAAACAGCCAGCATAAAAGAAAGAACTCTTAGAAATGAAAACTATAACAAAAATCATTTAATAGAAAGGCTGAAAGATAAAGGTGAGAAAATAAGAAAGCAGAAAAAAAGGCAGATAAAACTAGAAAAGAATTTTATATGATCAGTCTGGGAAATCCAACATTTCTTAGTAGGTTTTAGAAAAAGAACATAAAAAAATGAAAGGGGGAACATTATCCTGTACAGTTGGCTCTTGTATCCGAGGATTCTGCATTTACAGATTAAAAATATTCAGAAAAAAATGTTATGTTCTTACTGACAGGTACTGTATTGTTAGGCCTACAATGGTTGCATCTGTATCGAACACGTACAGACTTTTTTCTTGTCATTATTCCCTAAACAATACAAATATAACAACTATTTTCATAGCATTTACATTGTTAGGTATTATGAGTAATTTAGAGATGATTTAAAGTAGATGGGAGGATATGTGCATGTTATATACAAATACCACACAATTTACATAAGGAACTTGAGAATCTGCGGATTTCATTATCTAGAGGGGTTCCCTGAACCAATCCCCCAGAATACCAAAGGACCACGATAATACAAAGAAAATTCCCAATGACAGGGTCCTTTAATATCAAACACAATTAATTTTAAAACTCTTGCCAAAATATACCTCTGTGAAATTGCACTACATATGGGATAAAGAGAACTTCCTAAAATATCTGTGTGGATAAAAAACCAAATTATATACATTATAGGATTCAGGAATAAGGAATATAAGATTAAAAACAATATTGTGGTTTTTAATAAAACATAGGTTTGTTGGCTATTTGAATTTCCTATCTGTGAAGTATCTGTTCAAGTTTTTCTGCTTATTCCCCTACTGGGCTATTTGTTTTTTCTAATTGATTTGTAGAAATTATTTCTTTTAAGGCAATTTATAAATTAATTTTGCAGAGAATTTTTCTTTAGGGAGGAATCAGATTTCTCATTTTAGCTCTTTTGTCACTCATTTGCTAGGATGCAGGTAGAAAAGGTATATGGTCTGCTCATATTCCCTGTAGGTTTCTCTCAAGATTACAAACAAGCAGATAAATCTATTTACATGAAGGACTGTCTTTGCAATATTATTATTAAACTATTCTTTACAGTAGTTGCCCCCCTTATCTGTGGCTTCCCTTTCACTTACCCACAGTCTGAAATTTTAATGGTCTGAAAATATTAAATGGAAAATTCCACAAAACAATTCAATAAACAATTCATAAGTTTTAAACTGCTTGTTGTTCTGAGTAGTGTGATGCCATCTCTCGCCAAGACATGACTCATCCCTTGTCCAGCATGTCCACTGTATACAATGCACTCCCATTCGTCACTTATTGGCTATTGCAGTTATCAGATCAACTGCCAGGTATTGCAGTGCTTGTATTCAAGTAACCCTTATTTTACTTAATAATGGACCCAAAGTGCAAGAGTAGAGATGCTGGCAATTAGGATGTGCCAAGAAGCCGTAAAGTGCTTCTTTCATATGAAAGATAAAAGTTCTCTACTTAATAAAGAAAAATAATCATATTCTGAGGTTGCTGAGACCTATCTGTGAAATTGTGAAAAAGGAAAAAGAAATTTATCCTGGTTTTGCTGTTGCACCTCATACTGCAAAAGTTAGGTCCACAGTGCATAATAAGTGCTTAGTAAAGAGAAATTTGTGGGTAGGAGATATAAAAAGAATGACAGCAATGTGCTGTGCAAGAAAGTACTGGGGCTACACGAAGACTCCAGCAAGGGATCCCTTAAAATGAGTAACTAAAGCCACGGTGTGGCTTGGTTGGTTAGGACATTGTCCCATGCACCAAAGGGTCTGGTGTTTGATCCCCTATCAGGGCGCATATGTGAGGCAACCAATCAATGTTTCTCTTTCACATTGATGTTTCGCTCCCTCTCCCTTCTCTTTCTAGAATCAATGAAAAACACATCCTCAGGTGAATATTAAAAAAAAAGAATGACTACATTCACATGACTTTTATTACAGCATACTACTATAGTTGTTCTATTGTATTATTAGTTACTAGAGGCCCAGTGCACGAAATTTGTGCATGAGTAGGGTCCCTGGGCCTGGCTGGAAATCAGGGCCGATCTGTGGGGCAACCAGGGGACTCCCGCTGGCACCTGCCTTGGCCGGCCTGGCACCACCCACTTGCCGGCCCCACGCCCTGCCGCCGCTGGTTGCCTCCCACTGCAGGGCGACTGGCAGGGATATTGGGGAGGGGGAGAACCCCGCTGAAACCCGCCTTGGCTGGCCTGGGGCCTGCATGCTGGGGGCAGCTCCTGCAACGAGCGCCTGCCCCCTGGTGGTCAGTGCATGTCATAGTGACCGGTTGTTCTGCTGTTCCGTCGATTTGCATATTAGACTTTTATTATATAGGATTGTTAATCTCTTACTGTGCCTAATGAATAAGTTAAACTTTATCACAGGTACGTATGTGTAGGAAAAAACACAGCATATATAGGGTCCAGTACTATCTGCGGTCTTGGAAGGTATCCCCCATGGCTAAGGGGGAACTACTATATTTTGAAGACACTAAGGAAATGAACACCGAGACTCAGATATTCGCTATTATTTGAAACATGACACATTTTTTCCAAAGGCACTTAAAATTATGAATGCAGGCTATCCCACTTGCCCACCTAGGAACTGTGTTAAAGAAAAGTGTGTTTCAGGTGCCTTTTAGGTATGGAGTCTGAGTTCCTGGCTATTAAACTACTAAGGGGGTATCAGCTTCAAAATCTATTACACAGCCAATAAGGGGGAATCAGTAACAGTGACATCTGTGAATTAATGCTGTCTTATAAACAGGCTTTCAGTTGTAATTCACTGGCTTAAAAATAATAAACTTTTTAAAAGGAAAGTATTATTAGCTTCACAAATAAGGCATGGTAAATTCTATCTTTTATAAACAGAGCAAAATAAAAGTATTTCTGCGGAGGAAATAACTTGATATTTTCATCATCTTCTCTAAAAGGTTATCCCTAAGACATTCTCTATCTATGGATCTGAAGAAAAGTTTTGACCAATCTCGTTTCCCAAAACAAAGCTAACATGGATTAAGTTAACATACGATAGAGTAAAAAGGAAAAAAAAACCCAAAAACACACACAACCAAATCCCAGAACTAGGTATTAAAATTCAAATAACAGAAAAGTATAAGAAAACAGTATTTTCTTTCACTTATTAATGAAATTCTAAAAGAGAATGGCAGTTCTAACCTTAGAAGTGTCTAAAGGAATCATCAAGCAAGTAAGAAAAAGATCTGAAAACAGGAGCAAAAGTAAAAGACCAAAGATAGGGTAGGGAAAATATTTGTAAAAAATATAAAGAACAATTAAGTCCATAATGTCCTTACCTGGGTGTTCATCTAAATTAATATTAAAAATATTCATATCCAATAGAGTCAGAGGACAAAAACATACCAATTCCAAAAAGATGAAAGAAGTATAATTATTAGATATAAATTTTTTTTTTCTAAATATATTTTATTGATTTTTTACAGAGAAGAAGGAAGAGGGACAGAGAGTTAGAAACATCAATGAGAGAGATCGATCAGCTGCCTCCTGCACGCCCCCTACTGGGGATGTGCCCGCAACCAAGGTACATGCCCTTGACCGGAATCGAACCTGGGACCCTTGAGTCCGCAGGCCGACGCTCCATCCACTGAGCCAAACCGGTTCGGCAATTAGATATAAATTTGAAAAATATATTACTACTATTATAAAATGCAAGTTGAAATAGCACTTTTATCCATCAGGTTAGCAAATATAAAAATATTATATGTACATATACATACAGAAAATACATAAACAGGAGACAACCTTTTGGGGGAAAAGATAACCCTGCTGAAATGAGTGTAAATTGTTACAACCCTCTAAAAAGCAAATAATAAATATGATGATATTCTTAAAGTATTAATACTTTCACCTGATAATTCTACCCCAGAAATTTATCCTAAAGAAATAATCCTGCCCAGCCCGTGTGGCTCAGTGATTGAGTGTCGACCCATGAACCAAGAGGTCACTAGTTTGATTCCTGGTAAGGGTACATGCTGAGGTTGCAGGCTCGATCCCCAAGAGGGGGTGAGTAGGAGGCAGCCGATGGATATTCTGCTCTCATATCACATTGATGCTTCTCTCTCTTCCTTCTCCCACTCCCCTTCCTCCCTCCCTCTCTCTCTCAAAATCAACAGAAACGTACTTTTTCTAAAAAAGAAATAATCCTAAATATTACACAAAGTTATAGGCATAAAATTGTTTACCTGAAGTATTATTTACACTATCAAAAACTGGTATTATCTTCAATTTTTTAAAATTTGGAAGTGATTAAGCAAAGTATGGCATATTTATTCACTGGAAATTAAGCAGATATTTCAGTATAAGCATTTTAACAGAGACCAGGATATAATAGGATAAATGCCTGTTATAGTGTCAAGTGAAAAAGCTATTAAAAGAATTATTTATCATATATATAACTGTGCCTGTGTGTATACACGTATAAACCATCTCATCCCCCCAAAAACCTGAAGTCTAACAAAATCCTAAAAGGGAGTAAATGAAAATGTTAGGGCTTTATTTGGTGTTGGGCTGTGAGTGACCCCTCTTTTTCTACTGTGTTCCCACTACTCTATAATGGGAATGCACTGTCTTTTTATGGGAAAAGTAATCAACAGTCAATAATAAAAAAGAGCAGAGAGGATAGAACATCGTGCAGGGGCCTTCTAAATTAGCCAGGTGTAAGGTGACACTTACTATAAACTGATCGATGTCTCTCTCGAGTCCCACGTTTGGCAGATCAGGCATCATATGAGCCACAACTTTGAAACCTGAATCTTTGGCCAGGTGGAATGACTCACAGACTGCCTTCACAGTGTGGCCCCTGAGGAGAGAAAATCCATGTTACACAAATAAATGGGCAACAGGTTAACACAAGGAACAGAGGAAAAACAATCTCTGAGACATGTATGAAGAATAATATAGTCATTTTTAATCTCCACCTCTGAGAAAGTCTGGAAGTAAATCATTTCTACTTATTTTTCAGATTTTTAAAAAAATTGATTTTAAAGAGAGAGGAAGGGAGGGAAAGAGGGAGTGATGGGGAGGAGGGGAGGGAAGGAGAGAGGGAAAGAAACATTGATTTGTTGTTCCATTTATTTATGCATTCACTGGTTGGTTCTTTCATGTGCCCTGATCAGGGATGAAACCCACAACCTTGGCATGGTGGGACAACACTCCAATCAACTGAAATGAGGCCAGGGCCTCATTTTTACTTTTGGGATATTTCTCAGAAATTCCCTTATGCATCCAATAAAGGTTCTGACACTAAAATTATTTGGTTTAGCAACAAAGGCAATATAAGCTTACCAATGTACATATCTAACTTAGAAACCAGATTAATGAGCTCAAAACCACGCAGAAGCAGCATCCTATTATTTCTTTTCCTTTTGAAATCTTTTGAAATGACAAAGAGGCAGAGAGAGGAAGAGAGGAGACACACACATACCTATATACAAAACATATTTCACTCTGCTGGGTTGGAGGATCCTTTAAAAAGTGAGAAGACATAATAATTTAGTGACGAGGCAGAATCATTTGGGCCAGGTGGATCGATCATCTTACCGTCTAGTGCCCTAGGCAAGTAGGAAGCAAGCTCTACTAAGAGTTTGGAGCTACCGAAGACTGAAGCCTGTGTCAATCATTTCACCACCAAAACGTTCCCATTCACCACCAAGCAATCCTGGAGACCAGGGGCTCCGTCATACGCGCTGATGGTCTCTTCCATTTCCATGGCTTCAACTTCTCACCTCACCTCTTTTTGCTAATAACCTCCCAATTCATGTGATTAGGCTGGACCTCTCTCCTGATACCACACCAGGATAGCCAATACTCTATAAAGCTGCACTGTGCAACACTGCAGTTCATTAGGGACATGTGGTTATTCAAGTCTATGCTTAAATTAATTAAAATGAAAAATTCCGTTCCTCAGTTGCACTATCATATTGGAGAGCGCAGGTAAATAACATTTCGATCATTACAGAAAGTTCTGTTGGACAGCCTTGCTCTAAAACAAGCTTCAACTGGATGTTCCACAAATATCTAAAACTCAGTATTTGTAAAATGAAACTCATCTTTCCTCCAAGCCCCCTCTTCTCCCCAGTCTCTCTTACCCTCATTTCCACTCAGTCACCAAACACTGTCATTCACTTTTCAGGGCATCATTTCTTGATTAAATTATTGCAATAGCCTGTTATCTGGTCTTCCTTCTAGCTTCTTCTTAATCCATCCCCAAACTGTGCTCCCCATAAAGTAATATTTCTAAAATGCAGATATGCTTGTATCACAACTTAGCTTACAACCTGTCCTTGGGTTACAGCCCAAACTTCAAAGGCTCCTCATAATTTGGCCCCTCTGGCTACCTTTTCAGTCTCACCTCTTACTACTTTCCTACCTCACACTCTACACCTCTAACCAAACTAAACCACTCTGAATTCCCTAAATGTGTCATGTGCTCCCATCCTCAGCAGTTTGCGCATATTTTTCTTTCTGCCTGAAATAATTTTTCTCTTCCACATCTAAGTCATACTCTTCAAGTTAGATATCAGCTTAGATGTCCTTTTCTTCAGAAAGCTCCCCTAATTTTTAAGAGACTTTTCATCTCCACAGGTTCCTCTCTAGCACAGCTCTCCACTCCTGCAGCAGTCCAGCCAGTGCTCCTGGCTAGTCTTCCCCTACAAGAATGCATTCTATTTAGGTTAATCTTCTCAAGCCTGACACCCATCAGAGTCTTCCCTGTGCTCAAAAAGACTCAACAGACCTCTATTACCTATCAGAAAGACCCCACCCTCCTTAGCCTGGCATCCTTCTTAGTTGACTCTAAGATGCTGACCATGTATGTCTCCCTAGTTCCCCTTTACCTCCCTCTCCTAGCACAGCCCCCAATCACGTCTACACAAATCGAATTCAAGTAGCCTTTAAGGTCCAAATCAACACAAACCTACTCCCTGAAGCCTGCCTTCACCACCCTAGGTCAGTGATCAATGCTGATTAATAAACTCCTGAAATCTATTTTTACAAATTTACCAATTAATCACAAAGTTCCTTCTACAGCTAACCTTTCATCTGTACCTTTTCTCCTCAACTCAGTGATACTGTTCTAGAAGGAAGAGAACCTCACATGGCTCTTTCAACCTGTATTTCTTTCCTTCCTTACATCCCCAAATTTCTCAACGTTTATACCCATTACCTCACCAACCTTTCTCCCACTACCCTGTCAACTGGCATCTGCTTCACAAACACTCATCTCTCTTAAAACTCACCCTGACTTCATTTCTGTTCAAACTCTTTTCTTTGTTCCCATTCTCCTTTGCCTTCTCTCTTGCTTTAAACTACTGACCTTGAGCCCTAACTTCTGCTAACCTTTTGGGAAGGTTGTTTATGACAAGACGAGGAAGAGATCTACTAAGCATGTGTATAGGCAACTGGAAAAAGTCTGTAGACAAAGACTGAAAGTCAAGGAAAGAGGAGTAGAGCAGAGATAGAAGAATGAGTCTAAAAGGAGGAATGCCTATACCTCTTTCTTTAAGAGTGGTAGGAAGAAGGGAACATGGATATAACTGGTGGCATCTCACCTGTTGGTATCTCTGGCCACATCTTCGTAGACACTCTGCACCCCAATCTCCAGCCTGGTACAGCCATAGGTCAGCATGTCACTTAAATGCCGCTTCATGCAATAATCAGGTCTCGTCTCAATAGTAATTCCAATACACTTTGTGAGGCTCCTCTCAGAATACCTGTGGAGCAAATCTGGAAGTAAACCACCTGCCACAGCTTTAGGACTATGCTTCCATTTAAAGCAGTGGTTCTCCATAACAAAGATACAGAATTTCCAGAGGATGAGGCCCAGAAATCAGGATTTTAAAAAGATTCCCAGGTGATTCTAATGTGCAGCCAAGGTTGAGAACCACTGATTTAAAGGCTTGTATTCTTTCCATCCTCCCAGAAAAAGACAGTGGTTAAGAGCATGGGCTTTGGAGTCAGACTATTTAGATTCAAATCCTGGCTCTGTTATTTCCTAACTATGCAAACAGGAATGCTATTAACCTCTCTGTGCTTTGGTGTCATTATCTGCAAAATGAGGATAATAGTACCTATGCCTCACAGAATTGACGTGACTGAACTAGCATACAGTGGTGTTGTCACCATCATTATCATTCTTTTGCAGTATGCTATAACCATACTCTCCTTGAAAGCAGTGATTTCAATGGTCAAAACCCTGTTTTTCAATTCCTAGCAATGATTTTTCATAAATGAAAACCACCTGTATTATTTATTTCACACTCTATATTTTTGTCATGTTAAATTAAAGAAGGGAAGGAAGTTATGTATAATGATTGTAGGAATAATTGTGGGGAAATATCTTCTACATACAAGAAAAGTCTTCCTGCCAAGCCAATTAATCTTAGCCAATGATTTACAAAATTAAGAATCTTCTTTTCTCTTCTGTTAAAATCACATACCAGAGTAGTGAGTACCACTTTAGATGCAAGATGCCTGAGTTAATGGCCGTAATGCTGTCCAAAACTCAGATAAGTAAAAATGACCTGCTAAGGGAGCTACTGATGTAGGGATAGAAACTAATATTCAGAGACCATTGTGGCCAAGCACTATGCTATATATACTCCGTACATATCAAATGATCCCATCAGCTCTATGAAGCTTGTCTTATTACCAGTTTTACAGATGAAGAAACTGAAAATCAAAGAGATTAAATACTTTGTTCATGGGTACACAGCTCATAAAATTCAAGTCAGGATTTGAAGTTGGGTCTATCTGACTTAAAAATCTTTGCTCTATATTTCTTTTCTTTTTTTTAATCCTCACCCAAGGATATGCTATTGTTTTTTAATTGATTTTAGAGAGAGAAGAGGGGCGAGGTGGGGGGAGGGGAGGCAGAGAGAGAGAGAGAGAGAGATCTCAATCGGTTGCCCTCCCGTACCCACCCCACCTGGGGATCAAACACGCAACCTAGGTATGTGCCATGATGGGGAATCGAACCTCTCAACCAATTGAGCCACCTGGTCAAGGCTCTATATTTCATTTTATCACAGTGCTTAAACAATTCATTAGACATTAGATTTCCTTTTCAACTTCTCTAAATGTCCTAGAATCCAATAATTCTTCATGATGCACCCTTTCGCAACTTTCTTGATTCTTTGGGGAGGGTTAGACAAGCCTCTATTTTTTTTGGCATTAAATTTAATTTCCTCCGTTCCAAAGAAGTTCATAGCTCTTCCTTGAAAAGCAAAAAATCATAAAATTTCCATCATTTAGGACTACTCCTTTAAGTATACTCCTTTATTGTCAATAAAAACTTATTTAATGTTAATATTAGTAATAACTATTAAGAAAGTTAAGAACCACAGAACTGGAAGAATGATTCTGAAGTCTTTCATTATAGACATTCAAATTCTTTTGTACTGTTTGTTTACTGTATTCTATAAGGTTCTTCTGTATAGAATTATATGGGCGATAAGACTAAAGTCAAACAACTAGTCCAAGAATCATAAGACAAAAAAAGGGCTCAGATTTTATAAAATAGTCTAAGAAAGAATACTAAATCATTTGACTTTTCTGAAACAATCTAATCAGAAAGCACCATGCCTCACAAACAGGCGGGTACCAAGGCCTGCAGTAACAAAGGTACGTAATGCCATTCGATAAATGTAGCTCACCTTCTTTAAATATCAGTTACTGTTTTGGGGGAAAAATTGTTTTTTAAAATTAAAACAAACATATATGGAGAAAGAAAACTGCATGAAGGTTGCTTTAAGAAACAAAAAGCAGAAAAACTCAGAGCATATTTAATTAAGTAAATGAGAACATCTCAGAATCAGACATTCCAAAATCATATCATAACCTTCCTATTAATCCATATTTTAATAAAGCCTACAGTATTACTTAAAGGATACCATGAAGTTAGCAAGCTCATAGCACAAGAGTAGCTTGCACCACCAGGAAAAAACTAGAGGGTAGGCAATAGCACAAATGGAATTTGTCTAGAAGACAGAGAAAATTCACTAGCTAATCTTCTATTGCACAGCTCGTTAAAGGCCCAACCAAGACGTATAGAGGAAACTGCTGCAGGGATGACAGGGTTTCTTCATAAACAGATAGAACACAGTATAGGACGTAGAGGCAAATCTTACTCTCAAACAATAATCTAACTCTGTTTCAAAAATGTCTTTCTTCTGGGGAGAAATATCATTACCCTTTGCAGGAGCAGAAATAAAGAAATAAAAAATAATTCAAGTTTTAAAAAGCCAATTATTTTATTTATAAAAGGCTTTTACTACTATCTTCTTTTCAAAATTTTACTTGCATTTGAAAAGCAACAAGCAGAAATTCTTAACAAATCTGAATGTAAAAACAATGGAATATTTTCCTAAAGAACAAAGTATAAGGTATTCTTTCCTATAAGATTGCTGTATTTTTATTAGAATGTTTTGTTAACGTTATATTTAGTCCTACATATCACTGAATCTGCCTCTTCATTTAACAGAGATGTGGACATATTAATATGATTGTTCATTAATATGCAAATATGTGCATAAACTTTTTGTCTTATCTAAGTAAAATATTTGAATTGACATTTTGTGGCCTGTTATAATCCTCGATATCATTTAGACAGTCATCAATTGTATGGCTATCTTTAAGGACCTAGTTCAACTCCCACACCTTCCAGGAGCCACAGGCTTCTTAAGTTCTTGGGCATTTAGGAAATGTGCCAAATATTTTCCAACCCTGACCATAAGCTTCTAAGAGACAAAGTCAGGACTTGTACACAGGTCTCCTGATTCCAATTTTACTGCTCTTTTTGGGTTAGTACAGGATCTTAAAAGCTTCTACCCCAGCAGTGTGGGGCTATATTGCATCCTACACTTTTCTGTATGCCATAGGAGGGGCACCAACTATAAAAGATGCTAATGTTCTCTGCAAAGCATAACTTAAACCAATAATTTATGTTGATAACATTTTTAACAAGGGGAGTTTGGGGAAAGGGGTGAAGATTGGACAATAACCTGTAAATTTAAAAGCAAACAAAAATCAAATGCTACCCAACCTTCAAAACATAGGACAAATACGTCCCCTCTCTTGACACCTTCCCACCACCTCTCAGTAACAACCATGTGCTTCCATTCCTAAAGCACTTTGTCCATACTAAGTACAGCTTGCCTCGCTATTTGTGGATACCCCTGTCTTCCCATTGTGACAGGAAGTTCCTGGAAGGCAGTATAAGCGCCAACACATTTAAAGGTAACTGCTTAAAGGCTTCAGCACCAAAAACACTCCTTCAATATAAAAAATACAAATATGAAGAATGAACACATGAATTAGCCATAACTGAGGATAAAGGAGGTCTCTCTTCACTCCCAGAGCAGCATCTAGATCAGTGGTTCTCAACCTTCCTAATCCCGAGACCCTTTAATACAGTTGTGGTGACCTCCAATTTCATTGTTACAAATTGAACATAATTAAAGCATAGTGATTAATCACAAAAACAATATGTAATTATATATGTGTTTTCCGATGGTCTTCGGCGACCCCTGTGAAAGGGTCGTTCGACCCCCAAAGGGGTCGCGACCCACAATTGAGAACCGCTGATCTAGATAATTCCACTGCTTACCTTTCATCTTTCAAACAATCAACCCTCGAAGATACCTACTAGGTCAGATATGCTACAGGAAGTAAATATACATCAGTTCCTATCCCAGACATGCTTAACAATCTAGCTGCAGGGATAAGACACGCAGATAAAACCAAGGCCCAAGAACAAAGCTAGAAGTGGCAGAGATATAAATGGATATAGATTATTTCTTGGGAAGCATACTTCTATTTCAGAAAGGAAGAAAGTGGCCTCTCAAAGTGTTTTCCTCTGTCCTTGCTCTAAGGGACATGAGGAAATACAGCACATTGAATGTTAAGTCTCTTTATAATCATCTGGAAACTGTGCTTTGATCCACTCAAGAAGGCTGTGGCATCAAAGAGCACTTCTCATTACTATCAATATGCCGCAGACCTCCTTAAAAACCTCTGTCATAAAAGAAGTCGGATGTGCAGACCTCCTTAAAAACCTCTGTCATAAAAGAAGTCAGATGTGCCTCAGTCTGGTCCTGTGTGAATCCTCACTGGAGCTCCAGGCCCACATTCATGAAAGGCTTGTGGAAAGTTTCCTACGTGGACATCTCTCTACCTCAAACTCAATCTGCTCAAACCAAACTGCAAAATATATAATAATGGCAAATATTATTTACCGTTATTAAATTAAATAATAAAAAACTAGAGGAAGTAATAATAACATTAAAGTAGATAATAAGTGAAATATTAATTTTCATTAGTCACAATGTACAAACTCTTCCCTGCATCTACAGTCCCAGAATGAGTAAGCAGATTTTGTTAACTTCTTTGGACAGCCAAAGATTTGTTTGAACTGCTCAATAACATCTGGAGTTATTGGTGTACTTCCTAAGAAGTAGCACCAAAGAACACATTTGTTTTATATAATCAATCATATCTGGAAAATATCTCAAAATTGTATGTTCTGGATAATGCTGTGCTAGTGATATTATACACTTAAGAATGATTGAGCTAAATGTTTGGTGTCTTAAGAGGATTAAAAAATAACTATCTCCCCACCTCTTTTTTTGAGATGGTAGTCAAGTTTGCTTCCTGGATATTGATAGTTATGTCAAGAGGGTCTATAAAGTAACAGGGTTCTGCCCAACACAAACTG